GCAGCGTCACCCAGGCTAAGCGCTCTGCACCAATCACATTGAGAGGGGAATATGCAACTAAAGTCACTGTAGTGTCCTGGTCCGGCTAGTCTGGCCCCAGTCCCAGAATGTCCGTTGCCGGAGCCTCTACCCTACGGAAGGGTCCCCGTTCCTCTCACTCACTGCAGGTTGATGCAGGGAGCCCCGCCAGTCCCACTCTCAACTCTGTTCACCAATTCCTCCTCTCATAGCTTTTGAGCATCTCTCTCCCTGCTGTGTTGAGTTGGATGCAGCAGCGGCAGCAGGAAATTTAAATCACGGCTTCCAGTGGCATGGGTTCCAGCTTCCATGCTGAGATTTTCTCTGTTCCTATTATATCACCAGGATTGCATTTCCAGTTGGTTTCTCTCAGCTTAGTTCGTTCCTGGGTCGGCAAGGTATATCTCCCCTTGCTTAGGATTCCTCCCACCGCACCATTCTTGGATTCTAAGCTGGGTATCTCAGAGAGCCTCCATAGCTGCTGTTATCTATCTGCCATGTTCTCCAGAAGCTATTTTTGTGTTTCTGACGCTAATAAGTTAAGCTTGATAGGACTCCAGAAAGAAAAATTTGGAAATTCAAAATTGTTTTATTAGAGATGAATAAATCTGACTTTGAGTAAAAAAAAAAAAGACTTGAGAAATTGGGATTACAATGCGCACCACCATATAGTCAACTTCGGTGATGTCATGGTACTTTGTGGTAGCTAAACTGTTCCCAGAGAGAATATAATTATGCAAGATAGGGCTACAAAAGGTGAATGCTCTATATATCTACCATCATCTTCCTCTCTAAAAAGCAATCATTGGACTTACCCTTTTAATAGTTGTTCAAAATACAAGTGAGTGTTCTTTTGAAATTCCTTCTGGCCCCATACCCCAAAACTCCTCGAAGAGATCACATTGGGGTTATTAACCATAGTCAATGACTGTGTTTTTACCTTTGATTACTTTTGATTTTGGTTTTTCACCAACAAGTCTAAAGACAGTGTTCAAGCATCTGAGAGATCACTGCTTCAGTAGGGTTGACATGTTTTATTCTCTTTAAAATGATTTTGCCAGCAGCAATAAGACTCATGGGATCAGATCATGCTTATTGCAGACATACCTCAGTTTTTCCAATTATCTGTACGGCACCGAATGTCACAACACACAACATAAACGTAGATAACTCTTTCCCCAAAAGCATTAGAACAAGGAGACGCTGAGTCATTCATTTAGGGGTGTTGGAGTTTGATTGAGGGGAAGAAAACAGAAAGCAGCAACAAATATCAAGGATCCATGAAACTCTATTATGACTGTGTTTGACATGTCCTGGACCTGTCACAAGTGTTCTCATTAAAGTAGAAGTTTACAAGTCAGAAATGAATGCAATTTATCTTAGAGAAAAATTGTTTCTGCATACCAAATGAAGTTTAAGGAATGATACAAGTTTAAGGAGTGGTGCAACGGGGACTTACCGTGAGCTCCCAGAAGGCTGTAGTTGAATAGAGAGTTTGTAACATGTGTGCCAAAGGGGATACAAAATAGGCATGGCTGCATGATTTTAGTTCAAGGTATTTATCTATTTTTATTTAAAATAACTTTTTTGTTTGTTTGTTTTGGTTAGGTGAAGGGAAGAGTGAACCATTAGATGTAATTTTATGAGAAATCTTTTTAATTCAGTTTTTGGGGCTACTTGATTTAGAATGACTTGTAATTTCCAGATAGATTTCATAATACATTGATTATAGCAAAGCAAGAAAGGAAGAGGAACACAGGACACGCAAACGCAGGAGCATTGCTTCAGAATTTGACCACTGCTGGAGACCACTACAAAGCAGCTCTGAGCAGGATTTAAAATGAACTAATTGGCTTTCTATGCTTATCTGTGAGTCTGTCCTAGGCCTAGGCCCCTTGCCTGGCGACGGTAACTGATTCACAGTAAGTGAACCTCTATGAATCACTGGTCCTGGCTGAGTCTTGTAGTGGCCTGTGAGGCCAGCGATACATCAAAAGGCAAGATAAGGCCACAGCTGCGGGCACTTGGCTCTAACATCAATTAAATAGAGACTGAAGCTGCAGGAATTATTACTATATTCTCACTCTTAGCATGTCTTCATGATACTAAATTGACATGATTCATTACTTGGAGACTTCCTTGAAGTGGCTCGCAAGGTCGTGCTACTCATTGCCTGCGCTTTCCGCAGGATTCCCACCCTTGGTTTTAGACCTAATGAAAATGGGTGGTCCAGGGATGTCTGTCTTAGCCCTCAGCCTCTTGAGCTCAGCTAAAGGGTTTTGACCCTCTTGGAGCATTAAAATCATACCACTTCTCTTGTTTGATTTAAGCCTTCACTGTACACTCATTTGGGAGATTGGGGATTTAGGTCAGGACCCTATAGAGCACCAATCTGAGAAGCATGCTTTGATAATACCTGATAACATTACCTGACTGATTATACACTGTACTTCTGTTTGTATGATTGTGTTTCCAAATATGTGCGAAACATACAGATTTCTCTTCTGATACCTGAGATAGCAAGGGCCAGTGTTGAAGTGCTTTGAACCCACATCATAGGTCCTAGGAGCTGATGTGGAAAGTACTGGGAGACATCTGCCTGCACCATCTGCTTTGCAAACATGATGAATAGCATCTTGATGAACAGGGGCTCAATGTGGAGGCAGCATTGCAGTGTTTTTTTCTGGACCTGTAAATTATATTAGCAGAGCTATTGTTAGTAGTTTACGAAGTCCTATCAAAATTGTACACTTCCTTGTGAGATAGATTTGAACTGTGTACTACATTGACTACTCTTATATACACATGGAAATCTGGTATATTTGGTCTTGATGATGCAGGTATTTGATGTGTAAATGATAGCTAATAGATATGGGAACGAGGAATGCCATGCATATATTGCTTCTCTCTCTCTCCCTCCCTCTCTCTCTCTCTCTCTCTCTCTCTCTCTCTCTCTCTCTCATTGAAGATTAACAAGAAGGTACAAAGAGACCACAAAGAGCCCCCCCTCCGTTTCTGCCTCTCCCAGTAGTTATGGTTCACATAACTTGTGGTATGATTTTGATAAAGGAAGGCAAATTCCCCACAATGTCCTATTTAAGTCTGTCGTGTTACCACACGTGCAAATTAATTCAACCGTAACCCAAGCTCAGCACTGCATCACTACCACCAAGACTTTTTGGAAGACCCATGCATGATTCACACCTGTCACCACTATGCAGGCAATCTCAGCTCTGCTCCAGGCCCTCAGGTTTCTCAAGGCAAGGTAAGAAGATACACAAAGGGACTCAGACAGCGTGAGTTTTGAGATGACATTTTCCATGGGCACCAGCTCCTTGACATCATCCACGCTGTCATGTGTAGCAAAACCCATCCTAAAGTAGTGTCCCACGGTGTCACCTGTCTGTCTGTTGGTGGAAGTGTTTGGTTCTTCCAGAGAATGACTTGCATTTTATGAAGAACTCTATTTGGATCCACCAACAGTGTTTTTCTCTGATGTAGTTTGTGAATACTTAATTATTACTCTGTAACTTGTCAGTGAGGCAAAGTTTACCTCTGCTCTTGGAGGGTTTTTCTGCTTGGTCTGAGAACCTGCTGAATATAAGGCACATCCACGCACAGCAGAGAAGAACACGGAGGTGCATTTACTGCACATTTTATGCAGCACAGGAGCTTCTGTGAGCAGAAGGAAGATGCAAGGCCTGGGCAGAGCTGGGCACACAGGAGTTGAGGTGGAAAAGGAAGGGAATCCTGAGGCCAAGGGGCCTGGGCTGGGTGCTTAACTGGGTGCAGCAGTGATTAAGCAGGCGAGAGTTGCACTAAAGAACCTTGCTGTGCAGATTCCCCTCAGGCTCGATGCCTCAGTGTTGATCATAAGAATGTCACTCAGAAATCTCCAGAAGGGAAGACAATTGTTATACTCTTTCAGTTGTTTTGCTTCCTTCTCAGGGCTTCAAGTCTACTTTGCTTTCCCTCACTTCTTCTCTAAGATTTCCTGGAAGTTATTCTCGAAGATAGGTGTTCTGGCCACAAACTTCTCCATTGCTTTCAATCCTAACTTATTTTTACTAAAAGTAGAATTGGTGCAACCCAGGAACATGAGAAACTGTATTAGTCAGCTTAGCAAAATAGCAGAGAAGGTCTATTAGAATCCAGCCCAATGGCCTAATTGGAATTTGACTCATTTCCAAGTCAGCTCACAGACACAGATGCTGGAGGTCAGGACTTCAACAGGTCTTTGGCGAAATTCAGCAGAGCTCCTTTTCACATGGGACAATCATTCAATCGAAACTGGACTCTTCATTCCCTGGGTCATTTCAACATCCATTTTTCAACACCTGCTACTGCACCAGCACAGTCTGGCATTTTCCCACAAGGGTAGGTGTTCTGGATAAGCTCAAGGATTTAGCTGATACAGATGAACATGTGGGAGGCCAGATAAGAAGATGAAGGCCTGAGTGACCTCCTCTGTTAGCACTAAGGAGAAAGGTGGTTGGAAGCCTCCTGACACCCTATGGAAAATGAAAAACAGCTGGAATCCTGATGGTTACCTGGATAAGCACCACGGATGGGAAGAAGCAGATGAATCTGGTATAACTCTACTCACTTGTACCTGGGTTGAGTGAATAAAGCCAAGGTGTGCCAGAAACTCAGAGCTCCTTGTTCAAGAGAGACAAGGGCCCCCACCCTCCACATTTTAACCTGATTCTGTGTCTCTTTGTTTTTTGTCTTTGTTGCCCCTGGGTCAGGTACAAGCTCATAAGTTGGCCCCTACAATCAGCTTGGTAAAAGTTTTATATGGCCTAGTAACTCTCGTAGAGAAATGAACACTCCAAGAAGCCACTGGAGGCTTCATGTGTATGTATATTTAGCTTCCCCAGAAAGCTGATGCAAAGCGTTGTGTCATTTCTGTGCCTGCAACTGCACTGACCTAAAAATAAAAAGTAATTGGAGATGAATGGTCCAGATAACGCTGCATTGGGACAAGCATTGCAAAAGGACAAACAGCAGAGACCTGCTGTAGTAAACGGCAAGAATATTCAGAAGGGGCAAGGAAAGACAGTTTGTAAAGAAAAAGAGAGGTGACTGCAGGAGATATTTTCACAAACATGGTTGGTCACAGTGATTACGAGTTCCTTCAGCTCCTAAGGTTAGTAAACTTCTCTCTCTCTCTCTCTCTCTCTCTCTCTCTCTCTCTCCTAAGATTCTTTGGAGAAAGCAATCCAAGGTCTCCCAGCACTCAGAGTAAACTTTGTGGTATAATATGAAACTGAGCATTCTCAGAAACATTTATATCTTTTTGACCCTGAATGGAGCTATTCAAACATGTGCTCTGTGACCTTGGGTGTAGTGTATAAGAAAGTGTGAATCTTTCATCTGCAACTATTATCTTAAATAATATGCTCAGAAATGTGCCTGCCTTTAACATATTTTGTATGTGATTGTTCAATGACTCTTCTAATGAAAGCCCCATGTTCCAGTCCTTGGGGAGGGTGGTCCTTTACATACATTCATGGTACTCTCCTTTCCTGGTGCGGGTAATGCACACTTATTCACGGTCTTTCACTGGTTGTTCTTTTTGTGTATTCACTCAATGTGGATTAGGTGATTGGGTGATGACACAGGTTCTCTGCCTTGGAGTCTCATGAGATTTTGTCATTTGACTCCTGACAGAAGAGGTGGTGAAAAAAGGCAGCATGTCCCAGGCAGATCCTTTACGCTGTGACATTTTCTAGGGGTCAGACTCGTGGTTCTGGTGCTGCTGTCCTACTCCTTGATGAAAGTGGCTGCCCCTTGGGACCCTTCTGTGGAGCTTCCCCCAGATCTGTGAATGCTGTTGCAGACTTGAGCTGGTTAACAGAGTCCTAATAGAGTGGAGAAGGACTGGTGAGGTTACAGCAGCGAGCAAGGTCAGCCACAAGAGGCTGAGACTACCTCTTGGTCTCTAGCTGTAGAGGTGCTGCTGAGGTTGACAGAAATCTCTGTCCTGGTTCCTGGTAACTTGAGTTCTGGAAGATAGGCATTGAGGTAAACGAATTCCACACACCTGGAATCCTAGCACTTGGGAGGCTAAAGCAGGAGGATTGCTGAATGTTCAAGGCCAGTCTGGATTACATAGTGAATTCAAGGCGAGCCTGAACTACGTAGGGAGATCTCTCTCAACAAAGCAACCTCTCCCGAAATGAAGGTGGAAAACTCCAGGGGAAAATATGAAGTCTCTGTTTCCTTGTTTCATTTTTATATTCTAGAATTGCCAGATGAATAATTTTAAAATTTTATTGCAATGAAAAATAAAGCAAAACATTATAATGTAGCTAAACAATTTTTAAATCTGTCATTTACCCATTTTATTTCTGGGTCTCTATCTCTGTTGCTTTTTATATCTAATGAGGACAAGGTGTCCACACCAAAGGAAAACCCATTGAAATATGCACTTTGTTATTGGTAGATGGTTAGCTACTTGAAAGTGACTGACACACAGATAGTGTATCTCTAAACGATCTGAAAGACGATGTGTACCTCAAAATGATCTGAAAGACGAAAAAGAGCAGAAATAGGACATTCCCAGAAGGTAAAACATAGGCTTATAGAAGAATAAGGGTTGTGCAAAACCTGCTTCAGTCAGGGCACATGGCGGGCAGCCAGGATGACCATACGGGTCGGAGCCACCCTAGCCATTGAGCATTTGTAACCCTACAATCATGTGCCTAGGCTCTGGACATGGAGCTATGGGACTGATTGATTTCCCTGCTGGCCTTGGGTCTTGATTTGGTTCTCTTGTGATTAATGCACTGTGTCAACTTGAGAAGTTTAGAAGTTTATCTAAGAGACTCAGCAGGGTGCCATTGTTTTTACTTTATAAATATCCTGGTCCTTTGTAAGATGAAGCCAAGGAGACTGAGTGAGTCTTCCATCCAACCAGGGATGTGACGGGTTGTCCTGTGTACAATATAAATTGGCAAAGAGGCCTGCTTGGCTCCCTTTTTGCTCTTGCTACTTTTGCTGGCTGCTACTTAGAACTATTGGCCCCATGCCATGACTCCAATTATGGACTGAAACCTCCAGAAACAGTGAGCTAAATAAAGTTTTTCTTCCTTCATTTTGGATGTTAGATACTTTGTCCCAGCAATGAGACAAAAGTACCCAAGACAAGTCTTATCCCTTCTTGCTGCTAACCAGTTCTTCCCAAAGGAAGCTTTATGATGTGCCATCTTGTCTTGGAGGATGCAGCATTCATTTGACACTTACAGGGGCTCACAGCTTTGTGTGCTTGAATCTCACAAGAGGCTGTGGACTTGGACTTATAAACCCTGCTGGAACAGCTTCAATGTTGGGGCATCTTGGGGATGGACCATTATGTGCCTAGTGTCCTCATTCCAACAGGCAAACTGAGGAGGGAAACAGTTACAAAGATAAGAGAGGAATGTATGCTCAGTGGGGTGATGCTGAGGTAAAAATGTCGAGACATACAGTCTGTCTCTGCAAGGATCAAATGAGAGTCTTGGGGTGATATAATGAGGGTCAAGTGCTCCCACAGAGGGCTAGTATGAGGCTAGGATGTGCTTTGCAATTATCTGAGGATTGGTCAGACGTTGCCTTTTTCTGTGACAAAAATAATTGCTGTTGAAGGTACAGCGAGAGTTGAAAATTTTTACTCAGTCTCGAACAGTGCAGAATATTAAGAGAGATGAGGCAACTAGATAAGGAGTTTAATGTGGGCATGGAGAGTGTCAGCCCAAAGAAGGCTGTGGTGGCTCTCTGCAGATAAAGGACGGCTTTGCCTTATATAAACTTTGATGGGGAAGGGCTTTGGGGGCTGATGTAAGCTAAATTATTTTGTGAGAGTGTAGGGGATTGGGTAAATCTTAACACACATGAGTTTTGGCAAAGACATTTGGGAGGAAGAAGCCATAGGGGCTTCTGGGAGGGAGGTGGACATCAGGATGATTCAGCATTGCACTGCTGCCACGATGACCAGGCAAATTCCAGGCAGAGTCCCCTCACAATGCACATTGCAACAATCCCAGTAACTTGGGAGGGGGAGGTAGAAGGATCATAAGGTTGATGTCAGCCTAGGCAACTTAGCAAGTGCCTCTCTCAACATTACAAAAAATAAAAAGGCAAGAGCTCAGTAGTGGTTAGTATTTCTCTACCATGTGAGAGACTTTGGATTTGATCCCAAGAGCCTCCTTCAAACAAGTAAAGTTGTTAGCTAGGGAGTGGTTTTGATTCTTGTCACAACATGGTTGTCCCTCAGACTTGTTATTCCTGGAAGCCAAAGTTACTCCGGGGGAGGTTATTTGACTGAAGACAATTCACAGTGCAGGTAGAGATGCCAAACTCTTTTCTGCTGTTAGTTACACACTGGATGTGTACAGGCCCAAATGATCAGTCTGTTCTGGAAAATTTATCGTTTGTTTACTTATAAAATTGCTATTAATCCTGTTTTCAGTAAATGAGTTTTACATTTCTTGGTGGGAGTTGATGCTTATGTATAACACACCTGAATCCATTTTTTGTCTCCTTTCCTTACATCCTCCTTCCCTGCATTTCTTGGTCTCTTTTCTCTTTGCAAAAGATCTATCCCACAGTCTCCTATTATCTGGCTTTCATTTTGCTCTTTGTTTAGAGTATGGATTTCTCATGTAAGAAAAACTGTATTTAAGCTTGTGTCTGACTGACTTCATTTACAATTATGGTCTCAAGGTGCATCCATTTTCCAAAAAGTGGCTCAAATTTATCCTTCTTGACACTAGAGTACGTTTTATGATGTATAAATGCCTCATTTTCTTCATCCATTCATCTCTTGAAGGATGTATAGCCCACTTTCAAGATTAAGCTCTTATGAATCCTGCTGGTATAGACATGGGAATGCATGGGTCACTTTCAGGAAGCTGCTTAGAAGGGGCCTAGCTGGGTGAAATGGAATTTCTATTTTAAGGTTTCCAAGGAATCTCCGTACTAATTTTCATAGTGGTTGTCCTATCTTACAATTCTACCAACAACACTAAAGGCCTCCTTTCTCCCTAGCGTTTCCCAAATGCTCACCAGCATTTTTAAAATTGGATTTCTTGATGATAACCATTTTTACTGCAGTAAGATGAAATCTTACTATTGTTTTAATTTGCATTTCTCTAATACTTAGTGATATCCAGGGCTTCTTCATGTCTTTTGTAGCAACCAGATGCAGCTCTAGATGTTCCCAAAGGGAAGGAAGGTGAAGGCATGAGAAAATAAAGAAGAGACAAAGCTGGGGTCAGGTGGAGCCTTTACTCTCCTGATGGGACTGCTTAACCACTGTAGCACATTTATTTATAGCCTCCAAAGAAGAATGTCTACTTAGCAACTTGTTTGCCTGGCTGGCCTGGGCCCCTTGCCCTCCTGGTGCTGGAACAGCTTGTTTACATAGCTTTTTTTACATAGCTTGTTTTAGGCTGTCTGTGTTTTCAGGGCTGGCCTTGCCTTATCCCCGCACAGGTGTTCAACCTCCAGCTTCCATGGCTTCCTATAGTCTTGGTGGGCCATTTGTACTTCTGAGAAGTGTCTATTTCCCTTATGCATTTTAAATGGGTCTTTTCTTTAGCAGCGTCTAATATTTTTTGAGTTCTTTCTGTATTTTAGGTAGGAGTCCAGTGTCTTAGGCATAAAACTACCATTTAACTCTGTGTTTCTACTTTGTGCTGTGAGAGGATCATGAGCCTCTGTGGACCAGGTGCTCTACAGAGGTAGTTATGGTTTCCATCAGCATCTTTAAAGGCCAGGGTTTGGGAAATGGTGGACCCTGTGTGAGACGGGCCTGATAGGAGAGCTTCTGGGCACTGGGAGGTGAGTTCCTGAGGGGTGAGGGACCCGATTTCCGCATCTTCACTTTGGCTTACTTGTCTGGTTCTGTCACATGTCCCCACCATGCTGTTAACCTGACACATGCATCTGAGTTAGTAAATCACGGAAAGGAGCTTTCTGCTGAATAATCTGAGCCAAACCACACCTTTCCTTTTCTTTAGATGATTTGTGGGAAGTGTTTGTTACACTGATGCAGAGCTGACTGCCACAGCGTTGACACTGACATCAGATTCTGACATCTCAATACATTAGAGAATATGTTTATGTATTATGAGTTCACTAAAGCTGGGATCACAGCTTGCACTC